TTGACAACGTGATTAGCAGCTCTACTGGAGTGCGATACTCGGGACAACAGTCAATGTCATTAACTCGCCCGAGCTAAGCACTTGCCGAAAGTCTTTGCGCATGCTGTGCACAGATTGGCGACCACACTTGGTGCTGAGTCTCACTTTTGTCTTTGACTTGCCCAGACTGGCTGGGTGGTTGGTGGTGTTGACTTGACCGGGTGCGTGCTGTGTTCGACTTGGACTCTTCAAATCCGGTCTTGGTCAATCAGCAACATGATCCCCAACGAAGAAGGCGGTAATGATGCTCTCCAAGGGCGGCAAGATGCCACGGCACATATGTACAAGTGGTCTCAGATATGACCGAGTCCGTACGGGAGATCACATGGTGTGACATTGCTTCCCATGGCACTGAAAGTGCTTCACTCGCCCGTGAGATAACAAGGCTCACTGGGTAGGAGTTGGTGTTGTTTCAGGTCATCGTCAGACCGGGAAGATATAAATCTCTCTGAACAAGGGGCCTTGCTGGGACCCGAGCGCGCCACACCTCGTTGTAGCGGATTTGGCCGCCTCCAGGTTGGCAAAGTACGAGGCGTGTTGGGTCACCGGTGGCTTGATGGTTGAGATGGAGCTTGTGGTTACCTATACATCCATGCTTTGAACTAATTTCGTGAGTCAAAAACCCGAAACGACATTCGAGAGTGCTACATGGTCGACGGAAGCCAGCTATCAGGGCGGCTTACTTGCAGTCTTGTGCGCGTTTGCTGAACAACTTGGTTGGTGGGTTGCCATCTGAACTCGTGGCGAATGCATAGCGTCTTTTCTGGTCAACGTACACATAGGCCGGTTGCCTAGGCTGTGTTCCAGACGAAGACACCAATCAACAGTTGCCGAACCTGATCGTCTTCGGACTTGGAGACTGAAATCTGTACCAAGCGGAAGCATGACCGAAGAGAGGTAGACGGGAGGGTGGTTCTATGGCTGAGCACACAGCATATGCTTCCAAGCAACCCCAAATGCAGACAGGGAGCTTGCTGCAAGCTGCTCACCGTGCCACATCCAGACGCTAAGGGGGGTCCTCTTGGTGCCTCAGTATGCGCCACTGGCAAGCACATCATCAGTCGGAGCACATGCCACGAGAGCGTGCCAGTTTCCCAGAGGAGCGGCCCTGGATCAAGAACCAGTCCGCAATGGGGGGTGACGGTTGGATGAAACCGGACTGGATGTGAAAACAGTTTCCTCTGAGGGATGGCCAGAACGAAACGAGTGTTTCCGTCGATCAAGAGGGGGTTTGCCCGGCTGCAGGTCTGCATGTGGGATCAGTAACCACCTTGACTTGAGGTCCAACCCCACCGGCAGGCCGACATATGCGTAGCGAGACGGATTGAGAGATGGAGCCGAGGGTTTGACACACCTTTTTAATATCCACTATATTCGTGGGTTCCTGGATCCGTCGAAGGGCTGCCCGGGCTGCGGAAGGGCGCGTCCGTAGGGCCTACCTTCCTTCAGCTGGTCTGCTTAGGAGTAGGTAGATAGGTGATAGCTATAAGCTCAAAACAAAGGGTGGTCGTGTACGAGGTGAGGTGCGCTGCTGGTGACACCCGCCGCATAATCGCAGCCAAGGTCCAGACCCAAGGAACCGTGACCGATGTTTGGATGAGAATTTCTCCGGGTTGTGCTCTGCTAACCTGGAACACCAAGGTAAGGTTAGGTAGGTATACCTACTACCCCACATCGTTCTGGGACTTTGCAAGTGACCTCAGCTTGGATGTTCGCTTCGGTCGTGGTGTTTCTTGTCTCGAGAGGCTCCGTGGCTATTTTCAACATCGCGCGGCGGGTATCTTGCAGCTACTACGACGTGGTAAAACTACCGCCGACGACAGCACGGGCACTCAGGGCTCAGGGCTCACCTCAAAGTTCTCCTAGAAACATACTTGAAGCGACTTGCTGTGTTTTGAAGCACTTCTGTGTGGTTCGGCACCGGCGCTTGGACCACCCCCATGCCACTGATACCGCCGATGCCACCTGGAGAGCCACCTGCCAGCCAACTGAGTGGCTGCAACTCACTGAAGTTTTCGAAACCTCGCGTTTGAGAACACTGCAGCCACGTTTGGCTGACGGATACCTCCGCCTACCTACATAGTATAGGTCTGGTTCATCATACGCACATCCGAACAACTGTTCGCCCGGACAATGGGCTGGCTGTCTTAACGCGTCCGAATATACCCAAGTGCCGGCCTCGTCCTGCCAGGGACATACGACCCTCCCTCTCTGTCTTTGGAAAACCTAAGACGAACCACGGGATTTTCGCCAATCCCTCCGCTCTTAAGACCAAACCCTCCGGCCTAAGATATCCACAGATGATGTGAGTAGGGTTTCAATGCTGAAAGCTCCGCATAGGTTCTCCGGTCCCCGGCCGCCGTCTTCCCTACTGCCCTGCTTGGACCCCGCGGCACAAATTTAGTATTCCGGCAGAAGTCGTTTCTGTCTCCCCACGCGGTCCTCTTTTCCCAGGTCCTCCAGGTTGTGCCGTCACGTCCGGCCTGCACGAGCACCCGTCGAGAGTTGCATGCCATGGTACCTGTAGCGGCTGCAAGCGCGAGATCGACTGTTTCCCCCACCATCCTTCCTTGGGGGGGTTGAGCCCCCAAAAGTCTGAGTGCATTACACGCGCTGTCAAAGCGTCTTCATGCTTTAAGGGTTTCTTTTCCGATCACTGGGACACCGAAGCTGCAGCATCGTCTCCTGAGTCACTCCAGGTCGACGTTGAATATCACAGTAGCCTTCGCATCGTGCCGGCCGCATCTCTATCCGCACAAGACGCAGACACACAGACACACAGACACACAAGTCAGCAACGAAAACGAATCCAACACCGCCCAAACCCGGATCTCATCATTCAACGATCTACGCCGTCTTACTGGTTACTGGTCCGAGCCAGTCATGCGTTTTTTGGGACCTCCAGGCCAGGCTGGCTGAGATCGGACCGCCAAACATCTACACGGCATTCTGCAGTTTATGCCCCGCGCAGGATCAGTATAGTGTGTCCGTGTATTATTGACCTATTCTTCTAACCTGCAGCACAGCCAACTGCCCTACCCACCCTGCGCGGTTAACTCGCTCGCCTGGCAGTGGCATCAGCCATCTCTTCCAGGGCAACCAAGCTGCACCCGGACCCAACGGTCCTGCTTCGGCTGTCAGATACCTCCCTGACCGAGCACCAGATGTGTCCCAATCAGTTACATCGAGCTTCCGGGCTTGGCTGGCTGTTGAAACTGTACAAACTGTTTTCCGGGTTGCTGCCCGTTCCAGTCCTGCGTAGTGTAGGCGGTTTATTCAAGAGTCCGGATCCATCCTATCCTGGCACAGGCCTTGTTCGTCAGCATATTCATCCGATTTAGGCAGCTCACAACCTCGACATCCATGACGATGAGCAGCCAGGCCCAGCCAGCAGAAGCATCACGACAGAAAAGCCAACGTCAGATGGTGGGGGATGGGTAGCGGGAGTCGCAGGGGAGTTTATGACGGGGTGTTGTGTGCTCGCAAGACCCTTGCTCGCCCAGCACCTGGTGCCGGGAATCGTTATCCACACCCCCCTCCTGCAGGGTTCTGATTCGCCTATCCGGGCAATTCGCCATCTGGTTCTGGTTGAGGATCTGCTTTGGCGTCAATCCAAACACACCACCCCCCCCCCGGGCTCTGGTCCCTGTGTACTCGTCCTCACCCACACGGTCCAAATTCACTCCAGGCCCTTTCTGTAACAAGATACTTGCCAGGGCTTCAGCACATCTGATATGCTAAAAACAGTGCCCCCCTTCAACTGCAAAGCGCCAGCCTTGTCAGTCACTCACGGATTCCGGTGGTGTGGGCACTACTGCACTGACAGGGCCAGGCACCATCTCCCTTTGGGGCATTCCACCCGGCCAGCAGCCCAGCAACGCACAACAGTTTCCTGGTGTCAGGACCTTCAAGACAGGATTGATGCCAGGAAGAAGGCCACAGACCCAATGGCCCCCTCCCCAGATTCCTGGAATTATCTTGGCTGTCCCGGTACTCACGGCCATGTTATGCTATGCAGCAGCATCTCCGACCAAGACTCCTTGCCGTGGGCCACCTCGTTCTGATCGCCATCGACTGGCCCTGAGCGTTTTGCTCTCTGTTTCCTCAACAGCTTGCCTGTCTCGAGTCTTTCGGGGACCACTTTGATGCTCGGTTTCCAGAGTACCCTGCTGTCAATCTGTTCTGATACGCGCTGCTTCTAAATGAAATAGCTCAGGGCACGCCCGCTTGCTCCACATTGTTTCCCGCTCGGCTGCTTGCCTAAACAGTAAACTGTCGACAGTTTACAAATTCTTGTGTTATCCCTCCCTCTCCTTCTGTCCCGCTTGCCGTCCTTGTTTTTCTCAGCACTTCACCGAGCAGAGTTTCCTACTTGGCTTCTCTTACCATATACACACACGAACACCACTGCCTGACAGGCTCGGCACATCCAACTGCCCACCAAAAGAGCCACAAGCGCGGCGGCTTCTTGCTCACTTGGACGGGGAGGGAGATCGGGACGGGGCAAAGAGGCACGGAGCAAGGGTGACCCTCGCCTCGCTCGCTCTAGCTCCGCCTCGAGTGTGTGTAGTTGCTTTCCTGCCCTGAACTTACCAGCATCAGCCGTCTTTGCCCTTTCCTACCTTAGCAAGTACTTATATTTTCTATGCGGCACCAGGTGGTCAAATGAGGGTGGGCATCTGTACTTTCGACGTTTCATCACTCCACGCCCCGCCTACTACCTTCTCTGCTACCGTTACTTGGCTGGCCGCCACATCCAGCTTCTTCCTGAAAAGGTTATTTCCACGTCTTAGTGTTCCTCCCCCCTGCTCATTGGTCTCTTCAAAAGCTCCCCTCCCTCCTTCGACATATCTTCCGCTACCTGCTGCACCTGCCCTACCCTTTCTTCTTTCTTGTGTCCCGCTCCACGTGTTGGGCATTCTCCTCCCTTCCCACCATCACATTGACTCCTCACATGAAGGATGCTCACCATCACTAAGCCTGTGCAGTACGGCTACGGGCCCGTCCATGATCTACCCACCCCGCCGAGCACATCACGACCTTCTCCCCCCTTGATATATAAGGATTCGAGCTACAAGTCCACGCTCACTAACCCGCGAGACAGCAGTCCGTTGCATCAGCCCATGTCGGCACCTCACCGTGGCTTGCCACCGCCGGCGGCCTTGCCTCCAGTTCAGCCACCTCCAGGATCCGGACTTTCCCAACCACCAGTGTCGGGGCCTCCCCCGCCGCCACCGCAGCAAAACCAGTCCTACACGCAGCTTCCGCTACCGCCATCGTGGCATGGTAATGAGGAGTCAATGCAGTACTGGTTGAAAGCGAAGGCAGAAGAGGACAAGAGAAAGCAAGAAGAGGAGAAGACACGACAGGAGAGTTTCCGCTTGGAGCAGAGGAAAATGGAGCACGAAATTCTGAGGACATCACTGCACGGAGGAATTCCCCCTCCGCTAGTACCGGTGGTGTTCGCCGGCATGGGCGGAGGAGCGCTTTCGCCACAGGCATGGGAACTGGCACAGCAATTCCTGCCACCGCACCAGCAGCAACATCCGCCAGCATTGATGCCATCAGGGGCCATTGCCTCAGAACACCAAAGAAGAGACTCGCAAGCACAGGGATACGGCCAATATCCAACCTCTGGGGGAGTGCCGTCCACGCCGGGATCGGCACAGGGGCCAACCAGCTCGTACATGGCAGGCTATCCAGGGTCTCCCACGAGGCCTCGGGGACAGAGCATGCCCGGTCGGCCACCATCCAATCTTCCGAATCTCAATACGAACCTGCCGGGCGGGCCGGGCGGCGGGCCAGCAACAGCTTCACATCCCGGAATTGCTCACTCGCAGCACCAGGACGCCCAGCCGTCGCCGTCGATTTATTTCCACCACTGGCAGCCTCCCACCACTCAGGCGGGAGGGACACGGAGTGGCACGGATCAACCCGGCACGCCCTCAGGTTCGTCCAAATCAAAATCTCGCTCGTAAGGGTCTCGCGCGGGCTAACTAGCTCGTTTACGCAGTAGGGGAATCACCGCGAAAACGAAAAGCAGCAGGGCCACAGCCTCCCATTCCTCCACCATCGACGGCACAACGGCTTCGCTCACCACCGTTTCAACACAGCGCAGCGCTCTCCAACCCACCACCAGGGCGAAGAAGAGGCCACTCGCGGCAACGGAGTGACCTGGGATCATACCGGGCCGGAGGGCGGGGCCTTCGTGGAGAGAGCTCTGGGCCGGGGCGAGAAATGTCGCCGATGCACACGTCTGGGGCGAGCTCGGCTCGCGAGAGTGAACCTTCCAGCTCGTCCCAGGCTCAGCAAGGGCAGCAGCTGCATCGTGCACCACCTCCACAACCAGCTCCCATGCGGACCGGAGCACACTCGGTTTCGTCCCTGCTCTCGGACACTCCACAGTCCCCCCAGCCTCCGACGCACCAATTTGCCGTCTCCTCGGAACCACGACAATTCGGGCAGCAACAACAGCAACAGCAACAGCAACAGCAACAGCATCATCACCACCACCACCAGCAGACGCCTCATCAAACGATATACCAGCAGCAGCAGGCATATGGCGAGAGCGAGCGGACGTTGGAAGAAAAATTGCGCGGTGGTGGAGTTCCAGGATCGTCAACCACGCGACCAGGAGATAACGATTGAACCTTAATTTCAGCGATGTTTCAGCATCCCCGACTCGCCCCAAACTCGTTGTGGTTTGGTAACCCTTCCGCCGGCTCCCCCCCGCCCCTTTCCCTTTGCGGACAGACCCACGATGGGTGGGACGGCGGGGGATGGATGCGAGCCAGGGGTCCTCGCTCGCGAACATTCCTTGGGAGATCCCAAACATCGAGCCCCTGTCGATTCATTCTGACACGGTCGATTCTCCACGCAACAACGCACATTGCGGTGCGCAACAATTCTTTCAGCCAAACACAAACAATCTTTCCAGAGAAAATACTTGGAAAAGGGTCGAGGATCCCGGAGCCCGGAGGTTTGACTGTTTTGGAGCCACTCGGAGCGAGGCATATTCTTGTTGCTTTTGGTTGGTTTTGGGGCTTTTTTTTTCTTTTTTTTTTTTTTGCTTTTCCGTGCTTTTGCTTCGTTCCATTACCCCTTCGTTGCATTTTTCCATTCTCTGCACTTTTTTTTTTGGCATTGTATATTGACAACTTGTACTGTATTATTAACAAACAGCGTCTTTTTTTTGTACTTTTTTGCTGTGTATTTGTACGCACGTATTCACCTTGGGTTTTTATCAAAACAGAGGCAGAGGGAGCCAGAAGCAGGGAGCAGGGAAAAATACCAAGACTCTTACAACGTTTAAAACAGGGGGCCAGCTTCTGGGACATGTTTTGCTTTTTCTTCTTTTTGCTGCCATCTTTTCTCTTTGCTTTTCTCGGGGGGAGCAACGGTGATGACACTTCCCAAGTTGGGTAGGTGGGGCATGGTGTGGCTGGAGTGCCAGGTTCGTTTAACTGAGGCTCGGCTTCCCGAACCCGCCAGACTGGCGGGACAGGACATGGATCGTCGTCCGTAGACGCTGTCGAGTCCTGTTCACTTGTTGACATCAAGTTTCTCGAAAGAACAGATGAACTCGATGCTGCGGTTGTTGCTGCTGCTGCTGCTGCTGCCACTGCCGGACCTTTCATCACTCTACAGCGCCTCCAATGCAGTCTTCTCGATATCTCGACGTCATGTGGGTTGCTTCACAGCGGCTGCCGTCACATTGTAGATGCATCGGCACCCTCTCTGCCGGGGTCAGAGTCCAGATCGTGCCCTCAACGAAAACCAGGATTCCTAGCGGCACCAAGGTAATTGTCAGGGTGAGGAAGCAGCCCCTATCACTTACATAATGGCAGTTTTGAACTTTTGGGGACCTGGACAATCACATGTGCATAGTGAATAAGAAGGAAGAAAATGACCTGATTCGGCCAGCGAACCCCTCCTCCTCAAACACGTCGTTGCCCTGTTCGTCGTATCTGAATCTGCAACCACGGGCCAAGCCATGGGATCCCGGGAGGGCTAGCGATGCATCGGGTTTAGGTGAGAACCCTCTGCCGCATCTTCCAAGCGCTTGTCAGGTCCTTTGACCAACGCCACCATGGCACTCGACGGACATCTTCACTCTTCACACCATCGTTCTGGAGGAGCCTCATCTCGTCCGAGGTCAGAGCACCTGCATAACCATGGCCGGGTATGCCACATCGGTGTTGACGGCGCTTGCTGCTGATCGATCATACACAGACTACGAGGCCCTACCTATTCCTGGTATCACGGCAGACGAGGTATCAAAAGAAGAAAGCAGCGCCGAGGAGAAAACAAGGCCAATGCGCAGACAAGTGCCGAGGCAGATGAAGGGGCTGTCTTCTTCTGGATGTGGAAGCCGGACATTTTCTGATTTGCCCGGCCTTTTCTCCTCCCACACAGCACATATCAAGAACTGACAGTGGAGGAGAGCACCTCGCAAATAGTGTCACACATGTCGAGTCGAGACGCACTCTGAAGGGGATGACGTTACTTAATATAGGGCTGCGCATTAGCACCCCTGTCCGGACAAGGACCAGGGCCGTTGGGCGGCAGACTGGGGTAAACCGAAAGCGGTTTAACGCCCACGGGCCAGGGATGGGGGGGGGACCTGGGGAGGGGTGCGATTGTTGGGGGGGGGGAACTCCGCTGACTTGCTTTCAACCAAAGAGGAAAGATTCGGTGGCTGTCGTGTGGTCGACGCCGACTCTGTTGAGTACGAATGCCGCTTTTCTGGAGAAGTGGGAGACGAGCCTCACCCAGCACGTGGTCGGGGTGTGTATGTGGGCGGTGGAGATAAGAGAGTCCTTCTGGTTCCACAGCCACCGCACCATGATATACGTTCGACTATTCTCTACAGTGAGAGTTGGAACAGGGGAGATTTCGTCCAAACTGACCCCTGATGGCGCAACGTATTACGCTGATTCTGATTT